GAGGGAGGGGGGGATGGATTCCCTGTTGAATTCTTCAAAGCAAATTGGGACATAGTGGGAGAAGATATTAGTAAGGCTATATTGCAATTCTTTGAGACTGATAAAATTCTCAAAGAGATCAACTGCACAACCATTACCTTGGTGCCAAAAGTCCCAACCCCACCTATGTCAAGGAATTTAGGCCTATTGCATGCTGCACAACATTGTATAAACTAATAGCCAAAATGATCACTGCCAGACTTAAACAAGTGGTGGACAAAATTATGGGGCCATCGCAATCAGCTTTTATTGCAGGAAGGAACATCTTGGATAATGTCATTGTGGCCCATGAATTAGTCAAAGGTTATAGTAGGAAAGGAATTTCTCCCGGGTGTCTAGTGAAAGTAGACATCAGGAAAACATATGATACTGTCGAGTGGGATTTCCTGAGAATGGTCTTGTTCGAGTTTGGAATACCAGTAAAATTTGTTAATATCATCATGGGGTGTGTCTTGACTGTCAGTTACTCTATCATCTTCAATGGAGGCCTCACTCCTAAATTCCAAGCAAGAAAAGGACTTCGACAAGGAGATCCTGTGTCATCATTCCTATTTGTACTAACAATGGAGTACTTGAATAGATCTCTGAAACAACTGAACTACAACCCCAATTTCAACCATCACCCAAGGTGTAGGAAAATAAAACTAATCCATATTTGTTTTGCAGATGACTTAATCATGTGTTACAGAGTAGATCAAATATCTATTCAACTAATGCTCAAGGCATTTGAATATTTCTCAGCAGTATCAGGCCTCAAAGAGAACATGGAAAAGAGCTCTTTATATATAACAGGGGTAGAACAACAACTGAAAGATCAAATTCTGGCTGAAATGCACTTTTCACTTGGTGAGATACCTTTCAAATACCTTGGTGTTCCCCTTTCATCCAAGAAAATAACTGTTCAACAATGCATGCCTCTGGTGGAGAGAATGATTGCCAGGATTAGATGTTGGACCACTAAATTCCTTTCACACAGTGGCAGAGTGCAGTTAATCAAGAGTGTCTTGTTCGAGATTCAAACCTATTGGTCTCAAGTATTTTTGATACCAAAAAAGGTAATCCAACTGATAACAAGTACATGTAGAACATTCTTGTGGAGTGGTCAATGTGCAACATCAAGAAGAGCATTAGTGGCTTGGGAGAGGCTGTGTATGCTAAAATCAGCTGGGGGTTTGAACATAATCGAGTTCCAAACATGGAATAAAGTAGCCATATCCAAACTACTCTGGGCTATCACATCAAAGAAAGATACTCTATGGGTATGATAGATTCACAACTTTTACATAAAGAGAAGAAACATCAGTGAGATGGAGACAACTAAACAAACATGTTGGCTTGTTAGAAAAATTATTGACGGAAGGAAGTGGTATGGACATAATGACCTTTACACAGATATGCAGCAGTTCACGCAAGCTGACAAGTTCATCATCAAGAAAGCATACTTGCATCTGAGTCCCCAATATCCTAAAGTTGCATGGAAGTGCCTCAATATGGGACCATGTCCTATGCCAAAGTACCAGTTTATACTATGGCTTACACTGCAGAAGAGACTCACAACTGATAGATTGGCCAAATAGGGAATACAAGTTCCTAGGAACTGTGTATTATGTGTGTCTACTGCTGAAGAAACACACTCACACCTGTTTTTTGAATGTAATACTCAAGACAACTATGGAGCTCCTTCTTACGCTGGATTGGAGAAAACAGTCACGTAGGAAGCTGGGAGGAGGAAGTTGAAAGGATAACAAACAAAAAGTGCAGCAACAAAGCTCATGCAGAGGTCCTAGGATGGCTGCTAGTCGCGAGTGTCTATCATATTTGGGATGAGCGCAATGCCAGAAGATTCCAAGAATAACAAAGAGACCTGGGACTTAGATCAAGGGAGATTGTTATCCAATTGTATAGTAAAGGACAACATAGAAGCAGATGGAAAAGGATATTAGAAAATGCAAACTCATACCCAAACTTAGTATAAGTATATATTGTAATAGAATCCAACTGGTAGAAGGAATGTCCATAAAAAGTTACAAAGACGAGGACTAGTTCTAGAGTCAAAAATGAACTAGTGGATGTACATATTCATACTTGGTTAAATAAAATTTTATTGTTTGACCAAAAAAAAAAAACTAAGAAAACTGGCTTTGGAGAAAAGTTGACAAAATCTTTAAAGGAATGGCTATAGAAGAAGAATAGACTACTGAATCCATGTTAATTCACTACAAGAGTAAGTATTTAAATAGATGTACCCTTTGAATTTCACAGGCAACAACGGTTAATATTAGTTAGTGGAAACAACCTTTAATGAAAAAGCAATTATACTTCAATTTCTCTCCTTCTTCTTTTAAAAAAAAAGTAATGTTATTATTAAATAATTGTATGTTATTGTTTATAAAAAATAATTTCTCATTTATCATTTAAATAACATGGACTTAAAACAAAAGAAGGACGATATTGCGTATTCGTCTAGCACATCATTAAAGGTAGCTAATTGGCTCCTGAACCTTAATTTACAATGAATATGAACAACAAATTCATATTATACACAAGTTCTCGGTCTATTATAGTGGCGCTTGCGCTCAATCACATATTTCAGCAAGTGCTCTAGGATTCACCATTAAATCCATAGAAAGCAGCCTCTTACTTTCTTACTTACACATGCAATCTCATCAAGAGTGTTCACAACTGCTCTACTACCCAAATTAAGCTATGAGACAGTTAAAAATAAAGTTCTACCCTCTTAATGAAAAATTTATGCATATAATCAAATATGAAACTTTAGCGGAATAGTAATTTATTTGTATTTATCGTCGCTGCCACTATTCCTTGAGACTAACTAAAGGTAGATTTGTGTTCTTCCACGTAACTTGTTGAAATTAACTCCACAATAATTCCAACTCTTTGGATGTGGAAAAAATATACTTCATATTTCCTGTTAAAATTCATTAACATAGGAAACAAAAGGTATCTCAAAAAGTAAGTTATAGTATTCAATATGAAAATTTTAGAGAATTCATAAAACATAAATTATTTATATTTTCTGTTGCCAAGCATAGTACATAAAAGTATTACTATGTGTTTCTCTCAAGAGACATCAAAAGTTATGTAACCAGTTTCAAGTATATATATGATCGATCAAATCCAATTTATATTATATATATTCTGTCAGTAAAATATTTTAAATTTGGCATGGAATAATAGATCACTATAAGCACGTCAAATAATTTTTTTTTCCTGGATAAGCATGTCAGACATTTTTTTTTCTGGATAAGCATGTCAAATATGTTATTCCAAAATTTAGCATATGCATTTCAAGACCATCACAAAATAGATATCTACCATAATATTTATATCAATTGAATTTCACTAAAAACATGAAAAGGTAGAAATTTATACATAAATAATAAGTGGAGACTCAATTCGAGTGCATGAATACTCCAAACAACATATAATTTTACCCTTTTTTTCTTAATATATCTAGCATTATACACACAAATCACAACAAACTTCATGTCAAGTAAACGTGGCTTTTTGATAACTGGCTCTTGTGTTTCCATAACAATCTGTGTCAATATTGGCTCCAACTCATGCTAAGCAATCTCATAGGTCCATATATGAAATTATTGGCAGAATGCATCCTTTGATCAAAATATATAACTATTTGCACCAAAAATAAAGTGGTGATCATTCATTTCAAGAGTACAGATACGTCCATTAGAAATACTTTTAATTATATAGGTTATCTATTAAAGTACTATATATTTCTCCCACTAGGCGTGTTGGATAATAACAATACCAATACTCACTAGTATATTTTCACAAAATAGGATTTGGAAAGGATAATGCATGCGTAAACCTTACTCCTATTTTGTGAAGATAGAAAGGCTATTTTCGATAAATTCTTGCCTCAAAAACTTTTCAAACCAGGTTTGAAAAAAAAAATAGTGAAGAAGTTATGTTGAAATAAAAAAATTTAGTAACCACAATAAAATAATAAAGTAATAAAAATAGCAACACAAAAAAGTAACAGGTAGTAATAGAAATGAAAGTCTAAGAAAATACGAAAATGATGATGATGATAATAACAACAACAACAATAACAACAATAATAATAAGAATACTACTACTACTACTAATAATATCGACATGGAAAATACGGAACAAATACTAGGCGTGCTTGGTATACTGGCGGCAAACGGCCGGGTTGGGTCGGATATGTGCGGGTCAAAACGGATTATGCAAAAAAAATGAATAAAATATTAATACGAATAAAAAGTTGATTAACTGGCAATAATATTGATATATCCATATTGAATATGATCACTTTTGGGAGGATTTCTAGTCTCTCAAATTTGATTCTTTACAAAAAAGTTAAACCCATTGGTTATTTATTCTTAAGTGAATAATATGGATTTTATCCATATTTGATCCATTTTTAACAAGTTTATTATCCAACTTATTTTTTTATAGCACTATAAATAAATAATAATTATTTTTATTCATTTTGCTACTACTACTATAGATATACTTTTGATAAAAGTATTGAATCTAACTTAAGTATCAATTTTCAATATTTCATTGACTGCAAAAAGTTCGATTAAGTGTGTAAAATTAATATTTGCTGTCCTAATTTATGGAGCATTGCCTCTAGCACAATTGTTTTTTTTTTTTTTTTTTAGAATAAAAAGTTTAAAATTAAATTATTTTAAATTTGAGATGAGCACTCAACAATTTCCCAGCTACCGGCTATGCACGTTTCCGGTAACCTCATCGTCATCTTCCACCAAAGAACAAAAACTAGGGCTACTTTACTTCTAATTCATTCATTTCCTAGCTCAAAAAGCTCACATATACTGATATTCAATCACGTCAATATTTCTGTAAGCTGAAAATAAAATGTCAGATTATCTACCGAAGGATGTGCTTGTCGAAATTCTATCAAAACTACCTATAAAATCTCTAATTCACTGCACAACCGTATGCAAATCATGGTATTCCTTAATCACAAACCCTAATTTCATTTCTGTACATCACAATACCCAAATCATCAGCAACACCAATCGCCGGCCTTTATTATTCGTTCGTCACTACAACATGTTCGACAGGGTCGAACGTTACGCGTTACACTTCGACGATGAAGATGAAAATGATTCCCCGGATGTTGATTCGTTCCAGGAATATCTAGAGCTGAAATGCCCTGAAAAGAGTCGTAGTGAGTATTTAAGAATCGTTGGTTGCTGTAATGGTCTTATTTGCCTTTCTGATGATTATGATAAATATACGGATACAGTGATTTTATGGAATCCTACAATTCGTAAACATTTGAAGTTGCCCAGGCCTAATTTAGGGTATAATGGACGTGGGTCTTGTATTTATGGGTTTGGATTTGATGTTGTGAAGAATGATTATAAAGTTGTTAGGGTTCTTTATAATAGTACTGCTACTGAGGATTATAAGTTGCAGTTTCCACCAACTATTGAGTTTCTTGATAAATTGAGGGCAGTTAAATTCTTGGTTCCACCTGGGATTGAGGTTTTCTCTTTGAGTAGTGGGATATGGAGGAGCATTTCTGATGTGGGTCCTTCGTATATTTTGCATCAGAATCATTCTGTTTCGGCTTATCTTAATGGCGCTGTTCATTGGATTGCATCTAATTCGAGTGATGATGATGATGATGGTAATGGTGATAGTAGCAATAATAATAACAGTAGTAGTAGCAGCAGCAGCAGCAGCGTCGGTAATAATAGAGATGATAGCTTTATTGTAGCATTTCATGTGGGAACTGAAAATTTTAGTGAAATAAGTTTGCCAGATAGTGTTGCTGAGAGAAATGTGATGAAATTGGATGTGATGGTTATGGGCACGTCGCTCACGCTAGTCGAGTATGAAAAGTTTTGGCAGAGTGATTATTGCTGGATATGGGTGATGAAAGAGTATGGTGTGGTGAAGTCTTGGAGTAGACTTCATAATATTGATTTGAGAGGAGGGTTCAGGAATATTGTGGGATTTAGGACTCACGGCGAGTTATTGATTTCTGCCAGAATGGTAGGAATGGTTTCATACAACCCCAAGAAGATAAGCATAAGCTATCTTGGAGTCCATGGCACCAATCGCTCGTTTCATGGTGAGCCTTTTTTCGAGAGCCTGGCTTTAGTCGGGAAAGAAGATAGATTTGTAGAGCGGGCAAATTCGACTGCTGATGTTGTTCAAGAAGTTGGTTCTGTACTGGATAGCGGTGAAGATGAAACTGAGGAACATACATGATAGTTGATCCAGGTAAACTGTGTTCATAGTGATATCAAAGAGTAAACTGACCTTAATGAAACATTTTTCTAGATTAATTGATGATATGTAGAGGTGTTGTTCTTTCCATCTCATACAGTGTGGACTCCTATAAGCTGAAATTTATATGAATATACATGTTTTCCTGTAGATGTTAACACTAAAGCTGTAGTAAGGGTATTAGACAGTTATTTGTATTTGTCATGTTTTTTTAGGGATAGTCCTACCTAAGAAGAAGATTGTCTAGAAATTGGTCAATGGGACATTTCTTCTTGTAAGATGCGATGATCAAAAAATTATATCTCCGCCATCCTATATCTGCCAAATATTGGCAAATTTGATTCTTTCTTTGGTTGTGCAAATGATTATGATATTATCTGGTGTATGCATGCAAACAATTTCTGAGTGGTGTATGCATGCAAACAATTTCTGAGGGCCATCGGACTGGGTAAAACCTGAATTAACCGTGGTGCACTTGCGGGAAACTCCTTGCCGAGGGCCCGTGCACCCCCGGGATTAGTCGGGTCTCTTAGAGACTCGGACACCCGGCCCAAAATAAAAAATAAAAGATATTATCTGGTGTATGCATATTTATTTATTTATTAGTGTGAAATGATCTTTCAGGACTGAAAGGGACTTATATTTTGTAGTTCTACAGATCTACTTTGTATATGGAGAAGGTGCACGCATACTGGGGGAGCCTTTAAAACACTGAGTCAATGGTTCATATAGTAAATTCTACTTTTGGTGGCTTCACATCAAAAGGATTTCATGGCGGTTCTCATGTGGCTTCAAACAATTGTTGTAGGTCACATAAAGGACACTTCAGTTTTTAAATCTAAGGAGGCATGTTAGTGATCCAAAAAACTCCCGAGGTTCCTCCTGCTGCAACTTCATCCATCTGCCTTTTCTGCCCCAGTTCTCCAAGCATCGTATGCCATGACCCCCTCCTCCCTGAAACTCCATTGCGGAACCTAGCGTACTGCTGTGTCCAATCCTCCATTGGGCGTTAGGGTAAACTGAGCTGAAGAAACTGGTGGAAATTTAGGGGAGATGTCGGGGGAAGCAGTATCGGGAGGATTACATGTCATTCAGAAATTGGAGGAGTCCTGCGCAAAGAAGCGTACTGCTGTTTCCAATCCTCCATTGGGTGTTAGGGTAAACTGAGCTGAAGAAACTGGTGGAAAGTTAGGGGAGATGTCGAGGGAAGCAGTATCGGGAGGATTACATGTCATTCAGAAATTGGAGGAGTCCTGCGCAAAGAACCGTACTGCTGTGTCCAATCCTCCATTGCGTGTTTGGGTAAACTGAGCTGAAGAAACTGGTGGGAAGTTAGGGGAGATGTCGAAGGAAGTAGTGTTGGGAGGATTACATGTCGTTCAGAAATTAGAGTGACTGGGCAACAAACTAATATCTCAGCTGAGATCTTTTATAAGCCTCTGGACTTTCATAAGATGTAAGGGAATTCAAGACAAGTTGGGCAACTGCCTAATCAGTATCTTGACGAGCCAATGATATCCTTCTCCGCTTGCAGTTTTTGTTCATGTGTTATTATGTCTATGCTTGTTCTCCTTGGTAATGGTCATCCTGTCTCCTGACATTGACATAAATCTCTGTCTGCCTCTCTCTCTCTCTCTTGTGTTGGCCGCTCAAGGATGTAAACTTTTTGTCTGATTTAGGCAACTGTTCTCAGGAATACTAGATTGTAGCAACACAACAGTTGGATGAAGATTTTATCGGAGAGGTTTACTGGTTCACGCCTTGGATTGTCAAGCGTCCTCATGTGATGCTAGCTTCTGACATCGCCACCTGATCCAATGTTTCTATTTTCTTTTCATGACTAGTAAAATGTATTTGCATACTTGCTCAGTGTATATATCTAGGAAATTTAAGGGTTTTCAAATATATTTTTTGCAATGATGGGTCATGATAGATCTTTTTGCTACTTGTACAAAACAAAAGAATTCCCAGGCTACATGATAACAGATTCTCACACCTCAAGCAGTTTTAAATGAGGAATATTCTGATGCAAGTTGTTATTTATGTACTTATTGTCCAGCTAACTTATGATGGGGACATGAAGTTAGAATACTAATTCCCAGGCGGACAAAAAGTAACGCAATCAACATTTTTGTTTCAATCACCTTGTCAGTTTGTGATGATTGATAATTGTATTCAACTCTTGTCCCCTTATACCTGCAAAGGTGCTCTTCATCTCTGAGTTTCTTACTTTGTTAGTACTTATCTTCAGATCTGATGTCTTGAGAGGATACCTAACAAAGGTTTCTGTGCTTTGTTAGTTCTGATATTACTTTGTTCATGGACTCCATTCATAAAAGAGAAAGGAAGCCGGCAGGTGAGAGCAAAAATCTGATGGATAGTCTGCAAAATGAAATAGCACTCGACATAGTTTCGAGGCTTCCTATTTCATCTCTCATTCAGTTCAGGTTTGTATGCCAAACGTGGAATATGTTAACACATGATTCACGCCTTGTCGATCTGCACTTGACTCGTGCATTGAAGATCAATCCATGCATCATCTTTAAAAGTTACCATCCTCAGAAAGAGCAGCTTTTCTTTGTTGAACTGTCTGATCATGATGATGATGAACACACATTGAGAGAGATTCAGATTCCCTTTTCAGCATCCATGGCAAAATTTCGAGTAGTAGGATCATGTAAAGGCCTGCTATGTCTATCTGGCGTCTACGACCATCAAGCTGTGTACATATACAATCCTTTTTCCACAGAACACAAGAAGTTGCCACATTGTAATCATGAGCTTGAAGTGAATGAGGTGGTTTATGGTTTTGGATTTCATCCTGCTACTAATGATTACAAGGTTATTAAAATAGGCTACTATCCTCATGTCTACTATGCAACTTGGTCTCCGGTAAATACACACGATCATGATCTTCCACGTTCAGAAGTTCACGTGTTCTGCCTAGGAAGCAATACTTGGAGAAATTTAGGGGAATTACCTTACAAGCTTCATCATTCACCTGGTGTTTTGGTCAGTGGAAGACTCCATTGGGTGACTAGATTTAACTGGCACCTTGATCGCCTTATCGTTTCCTTTGACCTATTTAATGATACATTTCAAGAAGTTCCACGACCTGACTTCAATGTCAACTTATTTCATTGTAGTTATCATCTGGCTTCACTCAGAGGGTGTCTATGCGCGTGTTTATTAACCTCTAATGGCGAGAACTTGGAAATTTGGATCATGGAAGAGTATAACAAGAAAGAATCTTGGGTGAAAGAGTACAATATTGGAGCTTCTCCAATTGTGGGTCAAGATTTGTCACCCCAATCATATGACATTTGGAGGACTAGTTTGCAGAAGGCAACTGTTAAAGTGATGTGCATACTTGAGAATGGTGACATCTTGCTAGATTGTCAAGGTGGGATTTTGGTTGCCTATAGCATACATGAGAAAATTTTGAAGATCATAAGCATTTCTAGTATGCCCAAGTCCTGTCAAGCAATTGCTCATGTTGGAAGCCTTAATTGGATAGCTAACCTCACTTAGTTTGAAGTGGTAAACAACGTCTCTGAATCCTTTTGTCAGAGAATATTGTTGTGTGTCAACTGGCCATTCTTATCCTTTCTCTATGTATTATATGTTTCCTTAGCTTTTGGCTGTATGGACACATTGAAGAAATCAATAAAACCAGATTTTTCTTTTATCTTTTCTCTCAACTTTCATTTAGTTTTCCTTTGTTTAGCTTCTTTGCATTCCTGTGCTAGCTTTGGTTTTAGCAGTTCCATTTTTTAACATAAATGCCTTATTAAACCTCCAAGAGGCTAAAACTCCTGAATTGGAAGAATGTGGAGTTCGATGGTTATGTTTATCCCAAATCGTAACAGAGCAGAGACAGAGTAGCAACTAAAATATGATTACCTAGGAAGAATCGGACTACAAAGTCACCAGAAAAAGCAGTTTATGGTTTTATTTTTTGTTTCATTTTTCTGTCCTTAGTTCTTTAGTCCTAGCAAATATTAGAAAATGGAGCAAGCTAAGATTTAAAATCAGTAGCTTACTAACAGAACCCTGTAGGAACAGAATGTCCTGATACGTTAGGCACCTGTTTATAATAACCCAAGTTATTCTAAAGGCATACTAGAAGACATAAAGATAGAATCTTTTCTAATTTAAAAATTCAAAACTTTGCGGAGTTGGACCTGGATTGAATATAGGTTTTAACCATAGGGTTTTCTTGCTCGCTTGGATGCTCCACGCTGGAACTCCTCTGTTGACATTGGTTCATTTTTGGTATAGCTACTGAGAATTTGATTCAATCTATAAAAGTTAAAAGCCAAGAAGGAAATGACAGTAGCTTACCTTTTAACCACAATGAGATGCAATCATACAACATAAACTTGATAACATCAATGATACACCAGTTGTGTTTCCAAAAAATGATGTTCATTTTGACATTTACATTGCAATGCTTATCAAGATCTGCACATCAGCTAAAAATGGCTACACAAGTCGGATTCCTCTCTGATTCCTTTCAAATCACTCTCACAATTTCATTGTCTCTCAATACTACCACAAGAAAAAGTGCTCATTTTAATAGTCCCCTTGATGATATAGCACCTATCATCTTGTCCACCTCCAAATGAAAATCAGGATTACAATTGTTAAGACCATCCCTGCATATTTGATCCATCGATCAGCACGATTCCTCTTCTCAATGAGTCTCATAACAGAATTCGACAGGCCCAAAGTGTTAAGCACATCCAGCGCTTTACGTTGAGCTCTCTGCAACAATGTTTAACAAAAGACCATCAGTTTAACCATAATGCTCGAGACTGACACAAAACTTTAGAAGTAATAACAGTGATAGTGACAAAAATTGTGTTTTAACAAAAGTGATAACTAATGTTGACCATCTTATATCATATGTATTCCTTTACATAGTATAGCTTTTCCATATTTAGCAAAGGGGTTGATTTAAAATACTCAAGGCCCTGTTGATTTAAAAAGCAAAGCTCTGTGGCCCAAAGTCAGATGAACAAGTTTCCCCTTTCAACCAGGAATCCAGACCCAAAAGTTTTGGAAAAATACACTTGCAGCCAGAGTTTGAACAACAGAAACCTAAAACAAAGAGGAGTTTTTAGCTCTCCTTACTTTACACTTTTGCTTTGCCACCACATTTCTTCTTTTTGCTATAAAAGAGTTAGTAGTAAGGAGCAAAACTCGATTAACCATTCCTCTTAATTATTTTTAAGTCCGAATAGAAAAAAATCTCTATATCATATTGCCGTTCAATCTCTAAATTCTTTTTGTTTCTATTTATCAATCTCTAAATTCTATAAACAAAACATGGAGGAAGAATCATACTTCTGCAAGCTAATATAAATCGACTTATTCACCCTCCCGTCTTTCAGCCACATATATCTAGTGAAAAGTTATATAACTTGGAACGATAAGATAGCATAATGGCATCACCAAACAGGCATCATTTTTCCACTTTCCAGGCAAAAGAATCCCCAGCATGTTTCAGCATTTAAATCTCATATCAAGGCAGTAACAAACAAAACAAGTTTCTATGCTGTACAGTATGTAAAGGAGTAGTCTCTGTTGAAAAGTACCTTCAAACGATCCCTTTGCTCACTATATTTAGACAGAATGGCCACACCTGTTGCCAAGGTTTCTTCCATCATTCTTGATGACCTACGAGCAGATTGCATCGCCTGTGCTTCGTCATCGAAAATCCTCAGAACATGGGATGAATCACCATTCTAAAACAATAAATAATCCATTAGAAGGAAACATCAGAGTATCATAATAAAATTTTATAACACCTGTAAGAAAACAATGCCATACAGCTCTCCCAATCAGTTCTGCTCTTTCCCGGGCTTCTTGCATACGCCGCTGATGTCTTAAATTGTATTTATCCAAACTAGCTTTCAAAGAGTCAGCTTCTTCAGCCACTTGTTCTACTTTTCTGCACAAGGAAGACATAAACACAGCATTGAGCATGCACTGAAGAAGCTCCAAAAAAGCATGACCTTCTGTTTACTTCCAGGCTATACAGTCAACTTAATCAGCCACACCATAATTCAGCAAACAGGCACATCAGTTATTGCAAGTTGGTGCTTTCTCCACTATGCTTTCTGGACCATTTTTGCATAATTCCCCTATATGCATATATAGCTTCTCTTATGTCATCCTAGAAGAGCTATTCCAACAATCCAGTGACTTGACTTCTTCTTCTTTTATTTGGATGAAATTAATTTTTTTTTTTTTTTTACAAGGAGTGGCCTGCAACTAATTTTATCGTAGACGAAGAGCTTTGTAAACCTAGACTAACATAGAATATCGAAAGTCACCCATCTAAATCTGCAGCCATCCTTCGAAAGGGTGGATACACATTCTTCCAATTCATTTAGTTCAATGGCACCTAAAAGGATGAAAAGAAAAGGGGGGACTGATTAATTTTCTCAAGTCCCTTCAAAGTGGCTTTTCTGTTCTTTATCTACAAAAATGATTTTTATACTTGAATCACCAAATTATTCAAAAGTAGACACCAAGCGAAGTTGTTCACTGAACTTTACAAAAAGGAATCTATATGAGATTTTAAGCCTCATTTACTAAGACAAAAACACAGTAACTCAAGCATTGTAGACTACATTTCTAATGTCAAACCTATTCATATTCCACATAAAAAAGTGTACCTCATCAACTGAATGGACAACCAAATACCCCGAGCGATGCAGACTAACAACTGTAAAGTGAAATTCAGCATTTAAAGAAAAGGAAGAGCTGGAGAATATGATTTATGCCAGCTTAAAAATAATTAAGATTCAGCTCCTCTGTAAGCCTCTTCACCAGTTTCCCTCTGAGGACTCAAATTTTACACGGGAAATGATCTTAACTAGAGTTTGAAGCCGTAAATAAACAGCTTCCAAATTTAAACATACTCAAACGGTGAAACAAATAACTTCGGCTAGCTCTATCTACTCTTACAATAAAGACAAAACCTAACACTTAGAAGGAGAACAAAAGGGAAAAAACAGATGCAAATATTCGGGGGAGAAAACAAGAGAAAAAGTTAGAGCAGCAAAATGAGTAGAATACTTTATTTTCATATTCTTAGCTAAGTTGAAGGATTAACCCGAAAGAATGTCAAAGTACAAGCTAAAATAGCTTAGATCAAATAGTAACCAAGTGTCTAAATTCTATGAATTCATCTATTCACAACTCTTAGATCATTTGGTTTCCTTTATCCATAATATAGTTAGCTGAATTTTCAAGGCGGTTCTGAGCCTTATCTCTGTTATGAGAAGAAAAAAAAATTGCTACAAGTGTCATAACCTTTTTATGTTTTCAGTTTAATTCTACATATTGCTAAAGAAAGCGGTAAGATCATTCCATTCAACAATTCCCATCCTCTCTTCCTCGTTTCATCCAGATGCCATGAATTTGTTGGGATTCTTTGTCATTCGTTTCTCAGTTTTGACCATATTTACTCCATTTGACATTACATATAGAACTTGCATTGCTGTATCTCTCAAATTAAATTTTCTCCTTAACTGACGCTTTACCTTGGGATCTCAATCTAAATGCTTTAATTTGATGACAAAATACCTAGTCTTCTGGCACTAAACTTTTACACAATTCATCCACAATGCACTGGATTTTCAGATCTGATGATAAGATCTTATAATTATTGAACAAGCTAGATTTTCAAACATTTTCACCTTAATCGAAGAAATCAACCACACTAGACCATAAATCGCACAAACATCGAACATCAAATTCAACTTATCAATCAACTGCGTTTCAATCCCAAACTAATTGTATCAGCAATATAAATCCTCGTATACATTCCGCTCGTATCACTCCAATACGACATAACTTGTATTTTAAAGCAAACCAAATAATCAATCTCAATGTCGGAGATCAAAATTCAACTTGAAAGAATGAAAATGAAGCGTACCTTTTCCAGAGATCACGCTGGGATTTGGCAGGTATAGATCGCCAGAGAAGTTCCATTTCGGAGCATAGAGACTGGATCTGAGCGATATCTTTCCTTACGGCGTCAAATGATTGTTCCGAAGGATCGACTATAGCGGTGCTCGAAGATGACGATGGGATGGAAGATGAAGAAGAAGAGGAAGTGTACTCGAAACGCTCGAGCCTCTCCAAACCATCTCGAGACTTGAGTAAGAGCCGCCTGGAGCTTTGGTAAAGGTCCGATAAACTTCCACCGCCGGCGACCGAATTTCCTTCTCCGATCCCAACCGCCATTGCCATGGTTCTCACGTGTCTTTTGAGAGCTTCAGCTTTTGATCGATGAGAATTTCGGTGTAAAATTTAGAATATTATAGAAGAATACCCTTATCACACACAGTACTAATTATGCAGGTTATAATGCAAGAATTGCTAATGCATAATTAATATTGAAGATATATTTAATTATTAATAAAAGAAATTATTATATATTAATTAATTAATTTAAAAGGAAGATTTGATCTTTAAATCTTTGTATTATCTATATCTATATCTATACTATATTA